TCAAGGCGTTAGGCATGCTGCGTTAGTCTCTGAGAGGGGAATTAAAATCACAGCAAAATTGGGGGGGGGAAAAATCAAATTTGTTTGAATTATCTGTTTTAGCGTTTGTGCTTGATGACTTGTCATGAGACGGCCGACGTGTCATTCCTGATCCACGTCTCCTATTAGCGTCTGCCATTGTCTCTGGAGGGGATTATGTGTTTTTGCTGTGTTTGGAGGTTATAATCAGGGTCAAAGGGGAGAGATTTACAGAGAACAGAGCTGCTGTTTTCACCTCGGTAATTGCAGCGACTAATTGGAGCTCAGTAGTACAGAGAGGTGGACTGGAAGCCTTTATCATCCTGTTTATCTCATTTTATTCATTCTCTCTCCACCCATGGCTTCAGCCGTCCGGTTCAGAATGCAGCAACAGGCCGAGTTTGATCAAAACTTTTCCAGCGTGTCGCTTTTTATGTGTCGAAAATACAAACACAGTAAATGATGCTGTTTCTGATCCACATTCTAACACTTTAATGCAAGATTATATTTTTGTTAATTTTTCAGTGGCCCTAATCCTCTTCCGTACCAGACTAATTGTTCTGCTTCTTTCCATCTTTATTACGACATGTTTGGGATGTTTTTTGTGTCTTTTTCATTTTTCCAGATAAATGTTCTAAAGCAGAGCATCAAAGGCTTCGATTTTCATTATTTCTGATTTGGCTGAGATCCTGTTCTCACTGAGACAGTCTGTCTCCTTTGGTCAAAAGATCATTTAACCCCTTATAACCTGTGAAGCTAATTAGCTTCATATAAGCTCCAGTCTAAATAAAGCCAACAGGGTCCATTTATAAAACAAATGTTAGTTCATATAAATCTGGTGCTAAGGAGATCATAAAATGTGCTTTAATATCAACACTGAAACTCAAAACCCATCTGCTCAGTTGAATTCTTTTGTCCTTTTTAGTTGTTTTCTTCTTAATCTTAATGATGTTGCTCCTGTTGTCCTAATTAGACTGTTTGCATGTTTTGAAAGCCGCTTTTAAATCAAATGTAATATTAAAACGTATCATTTCGTTGGTGGAAGTGTGAACTAAACACATTCTTGGAAGAGCAAGAATGGAAACACAGGCTTATTAATGCATTTTATAACTGATATAAACTCCAAAAGTTATTTTTCATTTTGAGCTTGAAGCTTTTTAGCTTCACCAGGCAACCAAGGAATGGAGATTAGTCAAATTAGAGCAACATGAATTTAATTAAAATTATAGAAAATGTAAATAAAAAACATTTATTTCCAACATAAAAAATTCTAATCTAATGATAACTTAAAAACTAATGAAAAAGTAATGATGAATGAATAAATAGTTTCCTACCGTGATATAATATTGATTAAGAAACATGAAGATAAAAGATCCTACAGCTGAGTTTGAAACGGAATAGTAGAAAAAACATTTTTAAATTACATTTCTCAGACTTGATATTGCAAAAACAGGGATCTGAGAGTATATTGCTAAATTTGAAACACTTCAAATGTGAAAAAAACACGGTTTTCTTTTCTAACAATTATATCAATTTCAAAAATGGATTTTGATTTTATTTAGATGCCTGTGAAATAAAAAGCTTTAATAACAGTCAACAAACTCATATTGGAAATGGTTTTACTCCTTAGATGCCTGCTGTCGCTGATTAGCATCATACCCAGATTTAACATTTTAGGTGCAACGTTGAAATAACTAATTTCTATTTAATCCAGCATCTGATTGACAGCAAAAACACAAATAATAAAGTTTTTAGATGAAACATCTTAAATGCTTGAATTTAGGATGAAGTGTTGTCATGGTTACATGTGAGAATTAAAACCATAAGCAGTAAATGTTCCAGATACAAACCCTATGAAATGAATAGAGGCCGCAGCTATTGTGCCGTTTATGTTCACATATTCTAGCTTTGTCCTTTCGGCTGCATAGATCCGCTCGCTGTCATGTGATTCCTCCCATGACTCTTTGATTGTTTTGCTCTTCACGCGACTTTTTGTTTGTCGGTTTGTGTCGATCTTTGAGCATTTGTGCGAAGCTGTCGGGTGATGACAGGAACGCAAAAAGGCGACGCGGCGAAGCTTTCAAAGTCCAGCTTTCTGTTGTTTTGGATGAGTTTCCACCAAGCCCAAATGTGTGCATGGTCCCCTCTTAACGCATCAAGTGTAAACAGTGTTGGACCCTGAGTGTGTCACTGACTGACCTACATTTCTGAATATTTTTTTTTGCCTTCGGCTCCAGAGACTTTATCATCATTTTGTTGTCTCATCCATCCAATCACATCCCTTGATCTTCTCTTCTGCAGTTGCGGTATTACGGTAGTAAAGAGTCATCCTCTTTGCCTCTTTAAAAACAGTGTCTGACTTTCTGTCCCTTTTTTATTTTATTTTAAGGTTTACATTCGCATCGGCCAGATAGCAGCAGGCCTGCTGTGTTTAGCTTTGACAGCTGAGGCTGAATTCAGCCCTAAAAACCCCAATTACAACGTCTGACATGAAAGACGAAGAGAGACAAATCTGTGCGGCTGGAGGTTTTTGAAACGTCTTTGGTTCTTTTTCATCAAAGCTTCCTTTGGCTGCATGAATTTTGCATGTGCAGGTTTTAATGGAATCTGCTCTGTATATGAGGGCGGATTCGACCACAGCGCTTCATAAACCTGAGAAAGTGAAGGAACGTGGGGGGAGAGGAGAAAATTCAAATTGAACGGTTAAAGAAGCACAATTTTATACAAAAACTGACCTAAAAATAATTACAAATTTCTTCAAATAAGTGTATTTGCCCCTAACTGGAGCAGATAAATTAGATAATCTGCTGAAACAATGAAAATATTATCCACTTTTTCTGATTTTAAACATGTCATACATGCAAAAATGAGGAAATAAATTCATTTTAAGATTCTTAACTCACATGTATTTCATTCTTTGCATTTACAAACAGTTTAATGTTGATTATGAACGTTAAACACCAAAAACAGAAATTAGGATGCTGTGATTGTGCATCTTCATGTTAGCAGCCAACATGAGGTGAAAAAACAAAGCAAACCAAATAGTAAAAGATTCTGCTTTGCTTAGACTATCGTCTGATAATTTCCATTAAGAAACTAAACGGCTCAATTCTTTGATGAGGCGGGGAAATGCGCGTCGTACGCGGCTCATCGACAGCTCCTGGTAACACGTGGGGGAGGAGCAGGTCTGTGACACACGCTCTGTTTGAACAAAGACAATCAGCTGCTTCCTCTGGGCTCTCTGTCTGAAAATCACTAAATGTTTGACCGGAAACATCTCACGGTTTTTAGCCTTTCTTTCTCTGTAATTAAAAACCAAATAAAGGTTTTTAATCAGACTGAAACGGCTCATATTTGCATCGGTTTTCCCTTTAACTAGTGGCTGAAATGAAGAAGCAGTGGTTGGCTGCAGTGTGTTTGTTATCGAGTAAAAAATTCATTTCTGTGCAGGCGGCGGCGTCTTCATGCGATGGCCTCAGGCGTTCACCTTTAGCACTCAGAAGTAGCCGCACTTGAACTATGTGTAACTTATCTCCAAGCCTCCTCTGTGTGGGTGTGTGTGTGTGTATCTGTCTAGCCCTCAGAGTGAGGACAATTTTTCCAATTTCACCATCAAATTGAGGACCAGTTGTTGCAAAGTGAGAACATTTTGCCGGTCCTCATGCTATTTTAATAGGTTTAGGGTTAGGGCATAGGAAGGGTTGAAAGTGACTGAAAATCAATGGGAGTCCTCACTTTGATGGCAGAACGAGTATGTATGTGTGTGTGTGTGGCGGGTTAACCTTTCCGTTGCCCGCCTGAGACGCACACACGTTTAACACACACATGTACGCAGCCTTTGTCTCTGCTTCTCCTCTGTGCCTCCATTTCCATTTAAAGGAGGATATGGTGGGGGTGGAGAGGAAAGGTGGGGGGGGGAGGGCTCAGGTTGAAAATTACAATATGTATTTATGTTTCTCTGTATGCCGTTGCCAAGCAACAGCAGACTGAGGGTATTTACAGTTAATAAAAAGTGAGTGACATTTGCTTGGTGTATTAGAGGTAAAGCGCTCATTTGCTTTAAGGGCTGGAGGAAAGATAATGTGTGTTTGTAGTTGCTTTTCAGGCTTTCAAAAGACTTAATTCATGTAAAAATAAACACTGTTTTTTATTGGCCTAAATTAAATATTGTTTTCAATCTAATTTTATATGTTTCTAAATGTTTTTGTCAGAGAGAATGAGACGTCAGCTGGTCCATATTAGTGTTAGTTCTTGTTTTTTTCTTCTTCTATCGCCCAATGTGTGAGCGTGTATGGCGTGAAGTTTGTTCCATTATTGTTGCAAGCAAATAACTTTAGGAAATAATAAAAAAAATATTGAAAAGCAAAACACCTATTGTGAAGGTAAATAAAAAAAAAAAGGTTTTGTCAATGATTTAAAAGAAAAGTATATGGAGTAAAATTTGTTCCATTATTGCTGTTAGCAAAGATCTCGTTTTGTAAATTGACATTCGAAACAAAAACAAAAAAAAAGCAGATTTTGTGATAGGGAAAATAACTTTATTTGTTAAGGGAAATTTAAAACGCATCCAAAGCATCCAAATATGAAACTTAGGAAAATATGTCATAATTAAAAAGATATTTAGTAACTTTTACGTTTTCTTAAATTTTATTTTTTCCAATTATTCTACTTTTTTTTTTATATATTTCAGTCTTTTAATAATAAATTTTTTCAAACTTCATCACAGGCAGAAAAGTTTGGGAACCTGTGCTCTAGCAGAAAATCCTGAATTCAAACCAGACGAGTGGGAAACGTTCCCCCATAGCAATGTCAGCGACTCGCTGCCAGTTGCTGATAAACTTGATGGCAACAGTTTTGCAGGATGAGAAAGAAGTTACCGGTCCTTCTGATAATGAAACCCTGTTTTATTTCTGTATTTACTCCTGTTTTTCCACAAAAAACGCGATCCAACGCTGAACTCTCCTCTCCTCTTTCTGTCACAGGCTTTGAAAGCATCTTGGAGGGCTTGTTTGGGCCGGGACTAGTCAAGGACATCACTCTTTTCCAAGGTAAATGGCAACCACTGCAAAAAGACCAACCAATGCATTTATAACGGCTAACTTCATCTCAGAGGCAAACTTTGCATTTATATTTACCAGTTGATTTCAATGAGAATCTATAATCTTTGTTTTTAAAAGTCAGAGGTTTTAGCATTTTAACTGTTTACATTTATGTTGTTCATCTCTATAAACTTTAAATAAACTCTGCTGTTATCCTGATGCTGCCTAGCAGAAAGTTTCATTCATTATCATCTAATCTTGGTTTTAAACCAGGACTTCTTTCTGTGGAAAGCCACTGCAGCGTTTATTTCTGTTTCCTGTTGCACTCAAAATGTTTGTCCTCTTTATGTTTCAGCTTCTGTTAGCATGAAGCCACTCCTTTCAAACGCAAACCCTTAAAACCTTCTGAGAAAAAGGATTTACAGCAGCTAGGCCCCTCCCCTTTTTCTGCAGGCCTGTCCATAGTTCCCAGTTTAGTAGGTCTTTGATGAGATCTAATTTGTAACTTAGTTTTTTATGTTACATAGAATCTGATTTACATACAAATCAAATCATGCACGTGTGGAGAAATTTAAATTAATTAACAGATATTTCTATCTTGACCCTAGTCGTAAAACAATGCTGTCGGTTCAGTCAATCATAAATGTTTTCTACCAGTTTGAATTCATCTGGAGGAGAAACTGGTAGGAGCGTTGCTATCAGCAGCAGCTCCTTCAGTGGCTTTGTCCTGGAGACAAAGGGTTAACGGAGAAAGACGAACCCAGATGGATCATCAACCACGACGAATATATAACCTTTTTTTTTTTCTTATGCATCTTTCTTGTTGCACAATTTAAGCAGAAGATGGGATCCTGACCTTCAGAGTAGTTTTATGGAGCACACTAAACCCTCCGCTGTGTTGTAAAGCAGTTCAGGGTTCAGGATTGGATCGAGCTGTTAGCATCAATCGAGCTGTTAGCATCAAGCACCACCTGCTGTTCAAATGTCTGTTCCTTAAAAAAAATTAATCCAAGTCCAAACGACTTTATTTCATTTCTTTCTCCCAAATTTTATTAAACATGAAATTAAAGTTTATTTCTGAAGGATTTTCGAATTAAAACACCAGGTTATTAACAGCAAAAGTTAAATTAAGATTTTGCCCTAAATTATAAAAAAAAAAAAAATGGTTTAAAGCTATTCTTAAAAAAAAAACATCTTTATCTAAAAGACGTGTTCAATATTTCAGGCAGGATATAAGAGCGATTGAACTGAACAGAATCTCTTCAGAAGGAGATTAATTTATTTTTACAGCCCTTTTTTTCACAGAATAAAAGTTGCGAAAAACATCAAAAGTTACAAATATAGAAACATAATCAAAATGTAAATTAAACACCTTATAAAGGGGGAAAAGATGGGTAAAGTGTGCAATTTTCGGGGTGATTTTCCAGTCGTGCAAGAATCTTTATATCGGGCTGACTTTCAGCCTGATTACGAGGGGCGATCATCCTCTAGGTGTTGACCACCTCCCGATCAGAAATCGTGATGTGTGATTTTCTCCCAACCATCGGGCAAATCGCTCGGTGCGCAAAAAAAGGATTCTTCTGTAAACACAGCAGCATGGCAGGGATGCAATGAGTGAGAGGCAGTTCTGTCTGTAAAATGGAAAGACTGTTTGTAGCCACAATTCCTGAGCCAATGTCTTTATTCCAAATACATCGTCATCCTTTCTTTTTAAGGCTCTCAGCACAAAATTGCACAAATTGCCATAGCAGCGTGTTTCATTGTAGTGAGCTTAAAGGGGAAACACCGTTTTTTTTTTTACATTGCGCCCTTGATTTTACGTTATTACATCATGTTCTACTCACCCATATTATTTTGTGTCATTTGGAACTGTTCTGAAGATATTCCATTAGGTTATATCCAAGTAACGTCTTCCTATGGGCAACAGCTCCATCTCACTGCAGAGCTGAGTCCGACGTGCTTTTTAGTCGTACAGTGTGAGCAGGTAGATCGCATCAGAGCGTCGGGCCGAACATATATCGTGAGCTGTGAACTCACACTGTACGACTAAACTCTGCTGTTTAGTCGTACAGCGTGAGCAGTAGCTGCGTGCAACGACTGAAACAAATAACACAGTGTACGCTAGGGGTGGAACGGTTCACAAAATCCACGGTTCGGTTTGGTTCATGGTTTCTGGTCACGGTTTTCGGTTTGGTCGGTATATGTTGATTGTTACCCCAAAATCCCATAAAAATTTATGAAATTAATGAAAAAATCCAAAAAAATTAATGAATTGTAATTATTTTTAATGATCCGCGGAAACCCTGGATCATTTCTGCATGTTTTGCTGCTTTGAATTTAATCATTTCGCGCATGCCCTCTACGATCTCCAAGGAACTCAGAGCGGAGCGGACGGGAGCCACAGTGGAGGCTGTAGGCTTTGCTTTGTGCAGGCGGTCTGGAGCGCAGCGGAGTATGTGGGATTTCGGGGTTAGCATGACATGTTGGTCATGTTGCTGTTAGCATAAACAAAACGTGTTGCACAATGCTTGCACACTGTTGCACTTTTATCCACCACTTCCTTTCCGCCGTCATCGTAGGTCACTCTAAATGCAAAGTGGTCCCATACAGCAGACCTATAAAGTGCTGCTGGCGCATCTTCCAACTCCTGTTCTTTCCCACTCGCCATACCCACACAATTCTCCACAACAACTGATTTTTTTCTGCTACATCCGGCTACGCTGCTTCGCTTCTTCTTCTTCTTGTTTACTACTGGTGGTTGGCTTTGGTCTCAGTACCGCCAACTTCTGCTCTGGAGTGTAAACGCTTCACCTATGAGAAAAAGGAGCAGCGCATGAACGAACGCAACACATGCGAACCGAACCGAGACAGTCGAACCGAACAGTTCAGACGGTTTTAAAAAACTGTTCCATCCCTAGTGTACGCCCGGCTTAAGGTCCTGCCCCTCCCTGCTTTCATCCATGTCACTATAGCCTCTTTCCCACTGAAAATAACAGGTTAACTCATGTCTTTCCAACATGTGTAGCCCTGCTAACAGCTGATCTAACCCCTCGCTGGTAAAGCTGTGTCGCCTCTGCTACATGTCACATGCCTGGTGACACCATTATGCAGGGTTAGCCTTGAGATGTTGTCACCAGTGCTACAGAAATCAGGAACGTAAACAATGGAGAACAACATGTAAGGACGCCAGGGTGTAGTCAGTGTGCTTTATTGTTTTGTTTTATTATCTGTCAGAATCAGAATCAAGTTTATTGCCAAGTAGTTTTGCACTTGTTGTTGATGCAGACAAAAAACAAAATAAGATAGAATATTTATTTATATATAATGTCAGGGGCGTGCACACATAGACACTAGGTGGTGCTAAAGCACTAGGAAGTTTGCCCTCTATCAAAGAAAATGCCTTTTTGAAACTCGTTTTTTTTTTTTTTATTATTATTAATATTATTAAGATTTTACTGAGGTCGGTTTTGAAATGATCTTTTGAAAACCTGAGCCATTAAAAACGACTGAAACAATGCCCCGAAATGACCGACCTACTAGCGCACACCCGACCAGCCTCTCTCTCTTCCTTTGTCACGTGAACTCGCTCGGTCGCCCGCAGGGCATGCCAGATGCGCAGCATCATAGCAGTTTTCAGATAGCAGGAACGGTCGCTGACAGGCTGCTTCTCCCGTGCCCCATTAGCCAGGTAATATACAGATCAAGCAGAATCATTTTGTTGTGCATTAAAATGTCTCATTCAGCAGCACCAAACACGCATTTTGCTGACTGGTCACCAGATAAACTAGTTGTCTCCTTGTAAGATGCTATTTTACTTTTTATATTTTGTATCCATATTTTTTATCTTAAGCGTATACATTAGTCTATTTTATTGGATGACGTATACCCACAGTTTTTAGATATTTTTATATTTTTATTTACCTATTCCATATTATATGTTTCATGTTGCACGATTGTACCATAAAAAATTCCTAGTTTGTGAACTCCTTCACTGACAATGGCAATAAACCTGATTCTGATTCTGAAGGTTTTACACTGTAGCCCAAGTCAATGACAGATAACGTGAGGACGACCACATAGGCTACAAATAATTTTGGTAGAGTTTGCAATTGCAAATCTACGGAAGAGGATTAGGGCCACTGAAAAAAAAAAAAATAAGTTAACTGATTTTTAAATTTTATTTCAGTTTAGTATGGGAAAAAAGTCAGAATGCTGACTTTAATCTCATAATTCTAACTTTTTTCTCATAATTCTGACTTTTTGCTGAGAATTCTGACTTTTTGCTCAGTATTCTGACTTTAATCTCAGAATTCTGACAATAAAAAAGTCAGAATTCTGACTTTTTTCCCATGTTAAACTGAAATAAAATTTAAAAATCAGTTAACTTTTTTTTTTTTTCAGTGGCCCTAATCCTCTTCTGTACAAATCTATGTGTCAAGACAAACGTTTTCTGTTGTATAGGTTTTGTTAGGCAACATAAATTAACACATTTTGGTCTCTTTATTGTCTTAATTGTATATTGATTTAGTAATTGCAGCACAATACCAAGAAAGGAGGGTTAATCGTATTGAAAAATCTTAAAAGCTGTTCACATTTTATTTTTAAGTGGTTTGTGCAGCAGGTATTAAAATAGCTATTATTTTGTAGGCTATCATAAGTCATATCCACGTGACAAGACTTCCAGTCATGTTGCCCTAATAGCCCATTATTTAAACTAATGTGGCATATTTGTTAAAGCTATTATTATTATTATTATTATTATTATTATCATTATTATTATTGTTATTGTCATGATGGTTATTATTAATATATTGTAGCCAGTCACAGCAGGGAAGCTCTATACCATCAACATATAACAGGACAGGAGATGAGAAAGAGTTCAGGGAAGACACAGAGACAGAAAAAGACCAGGATGAGGGAGAGCAGATGGGTGAGGGAAAACAGGGAGATGAGCCAGATGAAAGAAGTATGCTTTAGTCTGTTCTGTTGGTGATGTGACTTTTTTCCAT